TGGCCTTTAAAATAATAAACTGTCTTGGCTAGGTTTTAGTGGACTAGTATTTTTTAAAATAGTCACATTTCAGTTTTAATACATCATACGTGTATATACATTATTACTATTTAAAATATTATTCTTAAATTTCAGTTATTTTTTTTTAAAACATAGAACAGTAAATAAAGAATTATATAAAATGACCATCTCTTCTATTTATGAACCTTGAACTCATTTGCTGCTTCCCATAGGTTTCTAAGCCTTATCAAATTTTGCATGTGGAGTATGTGAAATGAAATAATTCATTTTAGGTTTTATATATACATTTTGACATAACCAAAAATCATAAATTACTATATCAATACCATAGAATTCCACCATAATTTATCGAGCTTAGTAACTAAGCTATATTTGGGTCTAAAAAAATATGAAATTTCAAACTCACTAAAGACTTACCTTATTTTTTGAAATCTACCATGAAAAGAAAGAGTTTCCCACATAAATACTTTGAAAAGGTTCAGAGAGCCACATGGGGGTATTCTGAGCTTTTGATTGGTTATTCCCATGTTGTAGACAGAAGTAGGTGCATGTAAGCCAGTGTTTTCAAAAATGGAAAGAGTTGGGTGGGGCCACTGTTTGATTCAGTAATTGTAGCAATATCTCAGCAAATTGAAGAGACAGGAGATTCCTATTTTAGATTCTAGCTAATCAATATTGGTAATTTGAGTTCATAATTCATAAGAATCTACAAACTTTGTAATTGGACATCACAAACATTTAATTTGAACCAATGCTACATTCAACATACCTTGTGACACACAAAAATAGAAATTTAGTATTTATTTTTTAATATTTACTTTTAAATTAAGAAATTAACTAATGAATCGTACTAGAATTTGAATTATATTCTACAATTTGATAAACTTATTGACATACATTCATAAAATAGTAGTTCAATAAAATTTTGAATGAGAGTCTATAAATGCAATGACATGGCCTTTGACCTGTGACCATAGGAAAACCCCGTAGATATAGGGTTAAATTATTAATTTTTGGTAAAAATAGTAGAAGAAAAGCAAAATTATATATTATATTTTTCTCAAACTACATACTTTCCTGAATGTTCTTGTCAAACTTTAAACAATTTTATCAACTGGTTTTATTATTGGAAAGAAGTTTAATGAGAGTTATGTACCGTGCTCAAATCTGAAGCACGTTGTCATTATTGAGTTAAAATCAAGTTTCAACATGGTATTATTTGGGTGAAAAAGCAAATATCAACAAATCATTTTATTACTGTTAACAATCCAATTACACTCTTTTAACCCTTTTTCTAACTTGTAAAGATATGGAAATATGTAATCCTAACATGCCTAATGTTTTTTTTTTCTTTGAAGCAAAAACATTATAAACATTACTTTTGTAGGCTTATAAAAGAAATTTGAACATATACAAAAGTAATTGGGTTACACTAGACAAATAACCATAACTATCACACTTAAGTTATTCAACATGAACATGTACATTCAACAAATTTTGAAGATATGCTTCAGAAGTTATTTTGTGTTATAAGTAAAGAAAATTATTAGGGCAAAATTCACATTTTTATCTATAACATTTGAGTGAAATACAATAACAATCACAGATCACTAACAATTACACAATTTACAAATGCTTACTTGTGAACTATAAAAATCCCCAGTGATGCGAATAATGACTTCTTCAGCCTGAGAGTTTTGACTTTCTTCAGGCAGCTTAATTAAAGCATGAGTAATCTGCTGTAGTTCTCGAATCTAGAAAAATAGTTTAATAATTTTGGCATTTGAAAAATTTTAGTTTTATAAATAGAATACTATCATCAAGTTCATATAATAAAGAAAAGCAGATGCCAAATAAAATTTTAATATTAACATTGAATAAGAGTGTTACAAATATACCTGTATCAAAAATGAATCACCAATCTCCTAACTGGACTGTACTTTCTAGCAAATAACATCAACAAATAGTCATTTTATTTCAATATCATTGTAAAATATGGAATATTGGTTCCTTTCATGCTCCTCATTATGAAAATTAAACTAATGAGAGGGGGTATGTCACTACAGTCATTTAGAGTAGAGTAATTCACGAGACCACAGCAAATAAATGAAATAATGAGTTTTGGTAGCTATAGCTTAAACCAAAATATTAGAAAACTTTAGATGTAAAGCCTCAAATGAAATGAACTTAAACTGTTAGTTTTATTTGGCAGCTCCCCACCCAAAATCCACAAGAATTTACTTTCCAACAGCATGTATGTACTTGTCTCTCCTGTTCAATAACCATAAAAAAATATTTTTATGTAAAAAATATAATTAATTCTATTTCGATAAACTTTTACTCAAAAATATCTTAAATTCATACTTCATCTTTATAGAACATTTATTTAGTGTAATTCACAAAGAAAACAAAAAAACAAGGTTCCAGTTTTCATTTCTGTAGCTCTAAAGAAACTTGCCTATAAACACTACATTAATAAAATATTTATGGACCATCCCAAAGAAAGGTTTATACTTTTTAACAAACTACCATTTCTTGAAAGTATAAGGATTCACGTCATGTTTCTCATGTAATTTCCCTCCTTGTCAGAGGTTATAAAACTTCAGCCTTTAATGGTGTCACAGCACATGTTCTGAAAAATAACTAATGAAGCTCAGCTGAAACAACTCAGACAACAGCTGAAAATGATGAAACAAAAGAGATCCTGATCTATCTAAGCCAATATGAGGTAAATAAAGTGGTTGAAACAACAATTTCTGGTTTCTTCTACATACTGGTTACGCTAAACTATAGAAGGGGAAAACATTGTTTACAATACTATAAACAGATAAAAAATATAGATGTGGGAATTTTTATATACTTTCTTTTGACAATCGTTTTGTTCCTGAAAATGTTTTCTTGTTAAATATATCTGTTTGAAAGTTACAAATTTCTTCTATGACAATAAATCATGTACCGTATTTTTCGGAATATAAGACGCACCCTTATTCTGAAGACAAAGTTTTGGGGAAACTTTACTATACTAACTTCATTACTATAATTTATTTTTTTATTATTTAGGGAGATTATAAATAGTTATGTTTTTAAAAGAAAAAACAACAACTACTATTGTTATAAATAACTCATTCAATTGAACTAAACTATGCATGCCTATTTAAATATATTTACACATGGCTTGTGTATATAGTATATATATACATATATATTATTCATACCTTCGGTGTATAGAACGCAAGCAGATTTTGACATCAAATTTTGGGGTAAAAAAGTGCGTCTTATACACAGAAAAATATGGTAATTGTAGTTTTGTTTACCAAGCATAATAAGCAATAGAAAATCATTAGAATGATTCAAATTTTGTTGTTATTGTATATCATTATTAAATTTGTCATTTTCAAATAACAAACAAAAATAAAATAACTTAATATTTGTTGAAAATAAACTGTATTTATCAGATATAAATTGATCTGGAGCAATAAATCTGATGACAAAATCATGATAATTAACTTTACAAAGATAAATGTGATACTGATTTGAAAGATATTGTCCAAGATAAATGATAAATCTTTGTCAGTTTCTTCACTGTTTTTATGATTTATAGCTGGCAATGATGAGTTCTTCAATCATCAAAATAAAGTATCAAAAGAAATGTATTAATGAATATTAAACAAGCTGAGAATACATGGATAAAAATGGATAAAATGTTATGAATAACAATAATGAAAAATGAAATTCTATTAAAGATGAAAGAAAATTTGTTTGTCTTTTTTCCATACAGCATCTCTCAAAAAATGTTTTGAAACTTTTGCTACCTCGAAAAATTACAGAAATACTAAATTAAATTATATTTATATATATTTAACAGACAGTGGATACTATTTAAGTGTGTATCCAGTTTCATGCAAGTTGGTTTAGTATTTTCACTGTGAGAAGAAGGATATCAGTGATTACTCCCTTATACAGAGAGGATTATAAAAAAAAAGCTACCAATTATCTATCAATGTAATCATTCTCATCTTATATTCATTTTACAAACAAATTCTGACAAGATAATCAGCAATTTGTTAATAGTTAAGTATCTTTTATCTGATGCAATGTGTTCCAAAATATTTAACATAGATTTTTAATATACTAATTCTTTCTAAGCAAATAGCTATTTAAAAAGAACAAAGTGTATCATTTCAAATGTCACTTTAAGTCCATTAAAGAATAGTGTATAAAGCAAGAAAAGAGTTGTAGTTTGCATATTTCCAGTTCAATTTTCTATTAAAAATAGTATACTTAATGGCAACAAAACAAAGCAAATTATTATTAAGTTACCCTCTGTCCACCCTTGCCTATGATACGTCCAACTTGTGATGAAGGAACAAAAATTTCAACCCTGAGTCTTGCATTTTGGGGACCAGCAAATCCTTCATATGTAACTTTCTTGAATATCATAAACTGAGCCTATGAGAAACAAATGTAATTATATATATGTATAAACACATAAAAGGTTTAAGTTAACCACAATTTAAATTATATTTGTTCACAAGATTGTAAAAATTTACCCAATATACTGACATCAATTTATATATTTTCCACAAACTTTTGTAATTTAGTGAAAGAGCCACAGAAATAAAGTAAAACAAAGCAGATATTTCACAAATCACAACATTATTTCATGTTTGGCAATAGGAAACTGATGTATCAAATGTGTGGTCTATATATTTTGTACAAACTATTTATAAATTCATAAGTTCTACAGTAAAAAAAAGGAAGAAACATTTAGTAAATCAAACAAAAATGTAGCAAGAAGAATAAAAGTAAAACAAACTACATTTTATTACTGTTCATGGAAGTTTTAATCAATAAATATCAACCTTTAATAAAATAAACCTGTTTTGAAGTGAATTTTAAGAAATCTTGTATTTTTATATAAGGTATAAAGAGGCTACTCCAATTGTCCTTTTTCCTTTTTCTCCTGAAATTAAAACTTCTTAGAAACTAAGTCACATTTTTTTTCCAAACAATGAACTCTGATTAGACTACATTAACAATAAAAGTAAGTTTTTCCAAGTCAACTGGCTTAAATTTCTTAAAGAGAAGAAAAGGAAATTGAAGAAAAAATGTTTTAATTATTTTTAATATATAACATTCAATAAAGATGAACTGACCAATACAATATCTAGTTAACCCTATCGCCACGGGTATCCTTTACTGCACATGACACAAGGTTTAAGTGTCTTTCATTCAAAATTTTTATTATACTACTTTTTCTTTATGTTATACCAATTAGAATAGCATAAAATCTCAGCTAATAACCCATATTTTAATAGTATACCAGTTTGAAGTTCTTAATTCTACAAGGGAATATTTTTAAAAATCCTGAATTTCCACTAATGTGACCCACATGACACATTTTCTCTTAGCATGTTATCATCCCTATTTTATCCATCACCCCTAGAAAAAGTATAAAATTAAATATAAATTGCCTCTATAAAATCGTTATTGCTCAGAGAAACCATAATTTTTAAAGTCTTCAATTCTGTTTAGTTACAGAGCTATCAAATAGAAAATCAGACCCCTCCTGCCACACTCACCTATCACATCCTCTATTTCACAATTCGTTGATAGTTCTCTCTTACATTTCATTATATATTACCTATAACCAATAGAAAGTCAAGGTTTTTATCTATCAAATGACATGTTGTGAACAGAATATCATCAATTTCACTCAGGGTAAAAGATTCATTCCCATGGGAAAGTTAACGTTTAACTTGTATGAAGTTGTAAAACCTTGTGTCATGTGCAGTAAAGGATATCCAAGGAAACAGTGTTAAACAAATAAAAAAACAGTTACCTTCCACTGTGACTCAGGAGTACCAATAATGGTGACCTTCCGTTCAGTTTGCTGTTCTACTGGTTCATCTTTCTCAGGTTGAGCCACCTGTTTGATTTTTTTAAATATAAAAAACAGTCTTAGTTTACTAATGACACGATTCGTTCTTAGTATGTATAGTAAAGTATATTGATCCAGATACACATTTACTTTAAATATATTCTTGAAAGGAAAAAAAAACATCCACACAATACTGCTTTTAATAGAAGTATAATAAGAATGCTTACCAAACTATCATTTTCAAGGATCCAATTTACTCATTTTAAACTCCACCAAGATTAAATAAGTAATGTTTTGTTATATTTTATAAATAACGCAGTTACAGTTGTCAGACTTGATAATTTTTATTCAGTATTTATTACAGTTATCATCTCACCAAGAATATCAGCCTTAAAGCATTGGATAATAGATACAAGCTTCGTTCTATGAATATGGCTGCACAGTGCAGCTTCATCTATGTTGTAAATGTCAAATTATTTATCACAAACTAATCTTTACTTGTATTTTAAACTTCTTGATGCATGTTATTTTTTTATGATAAATCTTTTGTGAATCATTATTTGTACTTTGAGTTTACAAGACACAACAAACTGGAATGACACCCATTTTGAACCAATTGGCAGCAATATATTTCCACTTAACTACACATTCTCTTAGCATCAATACCACTGCCTTTGTTGCCACTTCTCCCATTCTCACTACCATTGATTATGGATAATCAATACAAAGTAAATTAAAAAACATTCAGCATCACAAGTTTGACTTTTATAAATAGCTACTTAATTAGGCCTATAATCATGTTATTAGTGTAGCTTGTGTAAAACCTCACAAATTTATAGAATATTTTCTACATATACAAAATTAAAAGCATAATACTTTAAAACTGTGTAGTTTTCATTTACAATTACTATTATTGTAAGATTTGTATCTTTAGTATAATTTGACTGTGAATGTGTGTTAGTTACAGTGCAGTTCAGTGAAGCATCAACTGAACATTAAAATGCATGTTACCTTAGCTCCCTTGTTTTTCAAATATCAATCTTATAAAAACTTGAGTAGATGAATTTTCTGATAGCTGCTGATATTACCAATATAATCCAATAACAGATATAAAATATTAGTAACAGTAAATGTCCAATTTTCAACATTATAAAATTTATTCTTCTGTGGTACTAACCATGAGAAGAAAATGTGTTAAAGGTCTTTCCTTTGAGAATATATCATGTTTTTATATATCTTGTGATGCATCATTTAACGGATGCTTCTATGACAAAACAATAGAAAAGAAGTATTGTTAATGTTTAAAATATAAAGGGTATATATACATTATGTGTGATAAACTGACAGCTTTTTTTTGTGATCTTTTGTGTAGAATATCTTGGTATCCTTACGATGTTTTGTTGAAGTTGATGAAGATGCTAAAACTGTATCAATATTAACTCTTTCGCTACTGCATCATTGGATTACACCAACTATGTGACCACAAAGTGACCATTACAGTTTTCATACTATAACTTTTAACATGCTTTGTGTATCTTCATGAAATGTTTCAATCTTTTAGTAAATATTACAAGCCTTCTGTAGATAAAAAATCAGAATTTTTAATTAAGTATTTTCACTAAAACTTTGTCCATGAATACATGGAGTCAGAGTGTTGACTGCTTCGAGTTCAGTGATTTTCATGTTGAGATTAAAAATACTTTTCTTCACCTGAAAATTTCCAAATGTCATTTGCTTAATCTCTTAAAACCTTCTTAATAAATATCAAACATTTTTTTTTCAGAAAAACTTTATATTTTATCAGTTATTTTCTCTACCCTAACTATATACGAGGTCAGTCTAATTGACTAGCAGTATAGGTGTCAAAGCAAGTGCGTATGAATATCTATACATGTTCTTACTATTTACTCATAAATTCTTAATTTTTATTTTTTCCTTAAAAAACAGAATAATAAATTAAATATATATAGAAAAACCAATCAATTATCAAATTACTATTCTTGTACATATAAAACCACTGTAATGTATCTGGCTTTCAAACTACGCCATATGTGGGTTAAAATCTCATTTACGTTTAAAGCAACAAATTAGTCGATAACTAGACTTCAACATTTCCAGTGAAATTACAAGTTTCTCCTTCAAGTCAATTACAAACGACTTTCAGATTTATATAGCTTAAAATGCACTCTTTCTATTGGTTATAAACATGTACGTAACAGAATTAGATGTAAGTAGACAAGAGATTTCAAAGGAATGGAATAGTGGGCAGTGCTACCCTGGCAGGTTTACAAAATTTAGTGATATCTCTGAAAATCAAAAAAGGTGGGATATTCATATTTTATATTCTAGCTTGCAAATATCTGTATTTTAAGTTTTAAATTCATTAACCACTCCAAAAATTGTATGGTAGGAGCAATAATATATTAACTGAGGAATACAAGAAGACATCATATGACACACAAAAAACCATATTTAGCATTTTTAAATATTTTTCTTTCAAATTAAGACATTAAAACATGTATGTTAAAATTTTGATTATAAACTACAATGTGATGCCAATTTTACTGACATACAATGATCATACAGCTGTTTAAAAAAATTTTGAAAATAACACTAAACATCGTGTCATGTGTCCTTTGATCCGTTCATAGCAAGAGGGTTAAAGGTTTGTGTTTTCTGTCCTGTCTAGCTGTAGTGACTGATAGATGTTGTGGGCGAGTTATTTCCTTTGGATTTCAAATTTCAAAACTGGGAATTGCATTGCAGGCTAAAGGGAGATGAAATATGCAGTATTTTCTACCTTGTTTATTTACTAAAATGAGCTCTAAAAGTTCACCTGAAATGTTGTATATTTACACTTAAAACTTTTTGCTTACAATAACAACAAGTCTGGTGGAAGAGCAGTAAAAAAGTGTAGGTCATTTTTCTCAAGCCAACTAAAAAACAAACTCTCTATCACCCCTAGTTTGTCATCTGTGCCTCAATTTTATTTTATTTTTCTATTTCATAATCAGCAACAAGAGTTTATTGTTTGGTATTCATTCTGCCTTGTAATCTATCATTTTGCAGAATAACAATGTTGGTAAATTGTATAAACAGCCTTCCTGGACAGTACATTTATGCCCAATATTAGGCTAAGTAATGAATGGTAAGATAAAGTAATAAAAATCAATGCCTTTCACCCTCCCCAATTTCTCTAAAACTTCAAACGAAAACCAACCTTTTTTTTTAGTTGACATAACACACTCCAGTGCTAAGTTTTTACTCAAGTAATATACATGGAATATTGAATGAGCAACATGAATAAAATGTTGTCAATAAAAATGAAGGATGTAGGAGTAGTCAGGTTAAGACTTTCAAGGACTTTTCCAGGATCATCTGATAAAAACCACTGATATACTATGGTTTCCAGTACTGAAAAATTTAACAAGTTCTACAACTTTCAGAATTTTCATGATCTGTATGAACCACATTTAATACAAGTAGTTGAAACTTAGTACATGAATGCAAATTATAACATGTTTAATTCTCAAGAAGCATATTAACTCGTCACATATTCAATACATGCATATCACTAACATAATGTTATACAAACTGATAAACATTAAATAATCAATCCATACCTTAATTGAAGCTCCTGAGAAACTGATCATTTCTCGGATGCAGCTTCCGCCTGTTCCTATGATGGCACCAACAGCAGAATTTGGGATGTAGACATGCACATGCTCTTTGTTAGGTAGCGACTGTTCTGAAATCGTATCTCTTGAGTACATTCCAGGGGGTACACAAGATTGTGAATTGCCATACATAGGATGTTTATGACTAGGAGGACCTCCCCTTGGGCCAGATGGATATCCACCGTGTTCCATAGTAGACATCATAGCCATTGGATGAACGCCAGGGAACATAAGAGCATGTGGAGCCATTGTTGCCAAATCGTTCTCGTAGCTCTGACGGAGTTTAGCACTAATCATCTGTTCTGCCTTGCATATATTGTCAAGCTTTCCAACAACAGTGATAACTCTCTCCAAATTAAAGCTGTTTACATCATAAATATTACTGAACAAAGAAAAAGAAAATACAAATTGAGCAAACAAAACAAAGTTTACTGTGAGAATAAGTACAAAAGACAAGCAATAAATAGAGGTAATTCAGATATCTATACACAAGGTTCAACTTAATGGTTACCTTGTCACTATAGTTGACAAATTATTTTCAACAACTGAAACAAAAAGGTTTTTAATAACACATCAGAAAAACACAAAAGTTTATACTTTGCTATACAAGATATATCTTTTTACAGATAATTACCTTGAAACAGTCAATTTTGTATCAGTCTTTTCCATGATGCCTTTAATATTATTTCCATTTCTGCCTATGATGCGACCAATGAGGTTGTTGTGAGCTAGAACTTTCAGGGGAATCTCCCTAAAGGTAAAAAGAAATATTTTGAGTTTATTCTTCAAAACTAAATCTTAAACACAGAGCTCAGTGCAACACTACTGGGTGAAAAAAAGTTATAAGTGTAAAAGAAATTTAATTATTCCACCAGCTCTGAAAATGCCATTATATACCATGCTTTCACAATATCATTTTGTAATTGACATATAAAAAAAGGGCTGATGCTAGTTTAACATTATAGTAATTAGAAATATGTCACTGATATATTTTATTACACAACAGATATATTCTTTTAAACCATCTATCTATCTAATTGTATTGACTACAATCACTTGTCGGATATTTTGGCAACAAGAACATTCAAATTTTCAGAGGGCCATCCACAATGTACTTTCACTTCAATCTCTTCACAGCAACATGGAAGCAAATATTGTTGTTTATGTGAAGAGTTTTATACAAACAACACAGAGGCATAAAAATCAAAGTTTAGAATTTTACAACTGGAAAAATAAATTCAGAAAAGTAAATACACTTATAAAATACGTATTGTGACAGCCATAAAATTAAACACCATTACTATTCTCAAACAAACACAGTAATGTTTATTCTATAAATAAATATCTAAAACTCATACTTCATTTTAAGTTGTATGTATACTTGCACTGCTTGCATGCTATGGGTAACATAACCACCTTCAAGTTTTGTCATACATAAACAGAAAGAAAAATATAAACACAGTAGCTAATAACATTTATTTTACATATAAATAACAAAAAACATTACATGAAGTATACATGGAAAGTTTCTTTCATGCCTACTAAATACACATTCAATTCTACACCTATCATTAACTATTACTAATGGTAACAGTTACATCTAGTTTCAGATCTACAATCTTACTTTGAGCATTTCAGTGCAATCAATGATGTTCAGCTTACTAAAAATGTTATTCTAAAACTAAGTTTAAATACAACATTATGGAGATTCTTCAATGACACTAGTATAAAAATAAAGCTGGGCATACTATTAAATTTTTAGTAATATATTTTTATAAAATAAAAAACAAGTGTTATCATATTGTTTATACAGTTTAGATATTAATTTCGGACATTTTAAAAACTAAAATTTGGGTGCACAACCCACTGGTAAACATGTCTGATCACTACAAATGAAACATACTCACTAAATTAATAAAATACAATGTATTACACTTACAGCAACCTCTTAAACAAATGTAATATCTAAATCCCTAAACTATCCAACTTCTATTTATCTCTCAGCTTCTATTTACAAGCTAATTACTTACAGAGTGCAACATTTTCTTCAAAACAATTCCCTAGTTAGATTAATTGGGTTTGAAAGCACATACAACATTAATGAATTCCTGATAAAATTATGGCTACAATAATAAAATAAGGATATATGGCTCCTGGTTAATTCAAAGCATAATAAAAAAATTAAACAATATCTTTTGAATGTTTCAAAATAACTTACAGTAAGTGCCAATGTTTAACAATGATACTAATTACATTTTTTGGGAGGTTAGAGGTGGTTGTGGGTGTCCAAAGTTTTTAGTGCAAATAATGAAAATAAATTTATTATATCAAAGTAATTTATCTGTTAGATGGTAGATGCAGTTTCTGCATCTATTTCTAGAAAACTTGTATTCTAAAACACTCCTACCCTTTATTTGTATTTTGAGCTTCTTGTTGCATAACCTCCAAAATTTTTTGACAAGCAGTCGAACAATTCTCAGGATTTCCAAAAATTGTTACAACCTGAAAGATTGTTTTTGGTTATTGCTTTAGCAAAGAATTAAATCATTTTTTAAGAAATTATAACCTGTGAAAAATGTAATACTGCAAAAGAACACCAAACAATTCAATACAAAATATAAAGAAAACAAATGATAAAAATTGTGACAGATGTCAACTGCATAGAATAAACTTTGGTGTTTTTTTTTTTTGTTTAAGTGCAAAGCTGCAATGGCTATCTGTGCTGTGCACACACAGATACCGAACCCCAGTTTTTAGCATTACAAGTCTTCAGACTTGCCACTGAACCACTGGGAGAGGCCATATTAGAGAAAACTTGTAACTGTTCATGAAGTATACAGCTACAGAAATTGTATTAAAATCTTTCCAAGTTGATAGCTTAGAAATAAGTAAATAATATTTCAATATTGAAAAGCTAGTAAAAATCTTACATTCTTGATATGGTAAGTTGAATATCCTTTGCATTTCAAAAAGTTTAAGGTTCACTTTTAATTTCTTAACTAACAATATCAATTACAGGTCAAAAAATACTACAAAGAGAAATCTGGTGACACTAATGATCCACATATTTTATTTATTTTTAAATAAACTAACATCAATAATAACTAAATTTATTTGTTAAACTAGTGTTCCTTGGCACAAAAAGAGTTCTAATAATATTACCATATACATTTGTCATTTCCAATGATAAATTCATCTGTGATGAGTATTTATTTTTGGGATGAAATCTAATTTAATTCTCATATAAATTGTGCCACGAACTCTTAGAATACCAACAGGTGTGATATTGTTTAATTCAATATTCCATATTACATAATTAATATACTGAAAATTCATCAAAACAGTGCACTGAATACACAGGTTAAAAGGCTATTACCTTTTCAGCAGAACCAGAATTTTCTTTGCGATGTATGTCAACTCTGAGTAAGGAAAGTAAATAAAGCCAAGATTAAAATGTTAAATGCACCCCACAAATTTTAGACCATAACTGAATACAAATGCATACATTAATCATAAAAATAATAAATAAATCACATTACATTACAACTAAATCATTAAATGTAAATGCAGGAGTAATTACAGTTACATGTATCATTGGGCCCATACTGTATATTCAATTCTGTAAAAAAATATATTAGTGTACTGCTAAATGTTTTGAAAATAAGTTATATACTTTAAATTTCTAAATGAATTACATTTATAAAATACTCATATTATTTGAAATTATAATTTTCCTAAATGAAAATTTATTTCTGATGGGTCACAAGATTAGCTTTTCTCATTTTGTGCTGCCCTTTGTATGTGAACTTTTTTTCAGAAATGCATGCCATAAGCCTTCATCCTCCCTCTGGTGGAATCCAAAATTCCGACACTTCTCTCATGCATCACCTATCCACCAATAGGAGAGCATTACTATCACATGACACATGTGATTCCCTCTACGTGCCACTACTGAATTATTACTTCAAAGTTTGGTAGAAGACACAAGCACTGGAAGATTGTGGGAAGTACCTATCGGAAGAACATATTCATTTTGGAAAAATTATAACTTCCAATACTCATAAGATTAGCTTGAATTCCACATTGAAACAGAGGAGGGACCGATGCAAGGGAAGCACAGGCACATCCCCTGGAAACATCCAGAGGACACCCCTGAAATGAGAGGAACAGATCAAATGATCTCAGGAGGGGTACCACACCACATCTGAACCAGGTATCTCTTCTCCAGGAACATCAACATGATCAGGAGGACCAGACATGGTGGAACATTAAAGGGAACACATCCGCATGGAAGAGGATAGTTTAGCAATGTGATTTTAAACAAAAATCAGAATCACTCAATCCCACGATGGAAAGTGGGCAAGTGAGAATGTGTCTCATGGTGTACAGTGGTTAGGGCGCAATGGACCATACTCAGTAAGTCAAATACATCCAAAATCTCACTTGCTGGGTATTGACATCCTAGCGAGGGTAGGAAGAAGATCATACAGTCTTCACCTCAAGTCCCAGAGTCATAAGAAAACCTAACATTTCACTCCAGGAACTCGCATGGTAGCCTATTGCCAGGGATCTGGGAATGGGTCATCCAGAATACGAGGGAAGTCCATCACATTCACTCAACCCCTACGACCATGAACCCAGCCCAAAATGATTCAAGGTTGGCAACAACTTCATCACCCAACGATGGAAAACTAGGACAGAAGTAGAAACAGGCCACATAGGCCTTCTGCGACCCACAACACAGAAGACATGTCGAGAGGGGAAGATGGACAACCCGAAATCTGTGTGAGAACTTATGTGATTGATTCACTCAATCTCCAAAACCTCACTCGCTGGGTACTGACATCCTCGCAAGGGTAGGAAGAGGGCACCCAATCGGAGGGTTAAACTGCATTTGGGTGGATAGTCACTCATCCGGAGGACCTTGTAACTCCCTATACACCAGCAGAACACCACTGTCCTACTCTGTACTGAATGGTTATAGCCATCTTTGTGGAACCCATCCGGCAGGTTGCCTAGTGGCTTGGATCTGGTAAGTAGTAAGGACTCCTGTACTTCACTGGAAGAAAGGGGGGAAGTGTGGTGAAGAGTCCAGAGGGACTGCAACACCTGAGACATTGCAATGAGTGATCATGAAACCCTATTTTGAAAAGCAGACCACACCAATTTATTCAATCTAGGCATGGCAGGAATGGGCAGCAATCCCCTTCTGCTTTACCCATGCTGTCCATGAGTGGTACAGTCCAGGACAGGCATATTATGACACAATTATCATGAGGAATTTACACTTTAGTGATCTTGTGAAACACCGTATCTCAAGGGTGAGTGTACATAGCCATGAAACACGTATAAGAATCAACCTGGCTTACACGTGGATATGATATCAAGATGTCTGCAAATGTAGCCCATTCCGAGTACAGACTGAATTCCTGGTCAGGTACCACTCGCCACAGAGTGGAATCCAAAGTGAAGCTGAAGCAGGGACCTCTGAAAGAAAAAAAAGCATTAGTGAAGGCTAACCTCATGTCACAGTGAAGCTGAAGTCCGTTGAATAGCCACAGGTGGCAGGTAATACCCAGAGGAAGCAGAAACAGCGATGTAGTTTAGGTAGTGGCAGATGAACGTGTGCAGAGTTGTCCTCATGCTCGATTGTAGAATCTCTTTCAACGGCTGACAAACATGAGAAGCAAGGGAGAAGGTAAGGTGATGAATCTGATGTGAGGAAATGTGAAAAAGATCACTATGGGAAGGAGACACAAACAAATAGGCCAACTGGATCAAATGTCAAACCCAATTGGTCAGGGTAACTAGAAAAAGATCAGGGGAATAGGAAGGTTGCCAAGGTAAAAGAAAAAGTGGTTATTAGGACCCCGGAAGAAAGCTGTGCAAGCAGAAGAACAAGGGAGGGCAAGACAAGACAGAAGAGTCTATCTGGATCAGGATGAGGGCAGAGATGAGATATACAGGATAAGCAAAAAGGGGAAAGAAAGGCCTTACCTTATCAAGCCGCCGAGGTCTTGGGAAGGAAAGCACAATCAAGATAAAGAATATGGTAGGAGGAGTTCCTGGCAACGTTGATGGCAAAAATATTTGACCTACGACACTCGACAGCCAGGAGGAGAAGGAGGAAATATGCCTTCAAAGAGATGTGAAACAGGGAACATAGACAGAGATTTGAATGGAGGGAAAGTGAGGGCACGAAAAACCACACCAATGTCACAGTCCAGGAGCAACCAATACCTCAATGGCTGAAGGAGCCGAAAGGAATAGAACAACATGAAAAGAACAGGGGAAGCAAAGACTCAGCGGAAGTGGGAAAAATGGAATGTATCGGATAATTCCACCCAAAACCCAAGGAGACCAAACAACCCCTCTCAAATGCCAAGTGAGAAACTTGGAGATACATGCAATCACTAGGGAGAAGCCTGGAAACCCCAAGTCAATGCTCAGGGCCAATAAATGCTCCATGTGCATTGATCGACGGCCAAATGGAATGGGCTAAATGTGAAGCTACTCTGCGAGGGAAACTGGTGCTCCTTGCCAAGGACTTGACAAAAGCCCAATGTGAAGACTGCGAATGGATGGTGCAGGATGAAACGCAGGTGACTAGAGCTGATGGAGCAGGTCAGGACGGAAGGAAAGAGGAAGGGGAGGGACTACCTGCAGGTGGAGCAATTGAGGAAACTAAGATTGAGCAGACCAGTAAAGAGCAATCAGAAGGACCATGCATGGAGTGACATGGAGAAGGGAGACCATCCGATGAAGTAAACGGATGGGAGGGTAAACATAAAGGAAAAGATGAAACTAATCTTGGCTAAAGGAAGCAATAGCCAAGGCTCGAGGATGGGAGACCAGGGACCAAAACCAAGGTAATTTGTGATTGAGAGCAGTGGCAAAGGCATCGATATGGGGTGTACCCAGATGCAGACACAGCCACCAAAAATGGCAGGATGAAGAAACCACTAAATGGGATCAACTAGATCCGGTCAGGAAAGATGATAGGCTACGAGATTGAAAGCACCCGGTACATGATACACCATCAAACAAATGTGATTTTTGTGGGCCCAAAAAAGAAGATCCATAGTACAAAAACCTAGTCATCTGGACCTGGTGCCACATGTGATTGTTGAAGTGGATCATAACCAGCTGGGGGATAGCAAGAGAAAGAAATTGATACAAAGCCCAACAAACAGCCAGGAGTTGGAGAAGAGAACTCTCATCCACAGACCAAGGACCTGAAACCTCCAGGTGATCCACCCAGGCACCCCAGCCCTAAAGGGATGCATCCATGAACAGATGTAAATCTGGCCACAGAGGATGAAGTGGGACCTGCCAATATGTGGGCTCTGTTCAACTACCAATGGAGATTGTCTACAAGAGATGAGGGAAGGTACATAGAAGTATCCAAGGGATCCCGGGTGAGGATCCATTGATCATGAAGGACCCATTAAAGTATTGCACTTGGGCCCGGCCCAGGGGTATGAGAGGGGTTATGGAGGACCACATCCTGAAAAGAAATAGAATCTCATGAGCTGTAAGTGTAGGAACAGACAGGGCTTTTCGATTGGCACGTTCCATAGAATGGAGCTGGAGAGAAGAAGGTTGGGCCTGACTGAGATAGATGTTGAAGAAAACACCCAAATGGATAAGGTATTGGGGTAGGACAAAGGAAAGATTTCTCTAATTTGACCAAACATCCCAACCGTGCAGTTTTGACCAGGAGCTGACGAGTGTGACAGGCCAATTCCCATTCAGAATGAGCAAGAAGAAGCCAGTTGTCAAAATCCCATGGCATGAATATGTGGAGTAAGGAAGCAGACCACATGATAAAACAGATACGGTGCTGAGGCTAGGCCAATAGTTGAGGTGAAAAACTGGTATGCAACCCACTGATGGACAAACTGAAAATATGGATGGGAATGTTCTGCCACAGGAATGTGTAGGCGAGCATTGAAATGTCCACCTTGGTCATGCAAAGACCTGGAGAAAATGTCCACTAAAGAGAAAGGTATGTCTCCATGATAAAGTGAGGATTGTAAACATAGTGATTGAGACAAGATAAATCAATGACAAGATGCCAGTCCCCGGTCTTCTTGGGAACCACAAACATGTGGGAGTAAATCCCTGTGAACATGGGGAGATGTTTCTAAAGCCTATTGTGTGATGAGGCCCTGAACTGCCTCTGACAGATGCTGTCATGGTGAGAGATCCCAAGGAGAAGGGTAGGGAATAGAAACACTGGAAAATGAAGAAAGGGAGATAAAAGGGAAAAAGAATCCCTCCAAGAACACCTTGTGAACCCAAACATCGGTGAGGAAAGATCCCACAGATGAACGAAATTCAACAGACAAGCCCCTACTGGGCCTGAACATTCCACATAATTACTGGTACCGCTGTTGTCATATCTTGCATAATCGAG